AATTTAGTTAAATTAAATAGTGATCAAAAAACAATTTTTGATACTATTATTAAAGCAATTAATAATGAAATAAATCAGAATTTATTCTTTATTGATGGACCTGGAGAAACTGGAAAAACATTTTTATATAATATACTTTTAGCTCATATAAGATCATCAAGAAGTGAAATGAATGGAATTGCAATTGCAGTAGCTTCTTCAGAAATTGCTACATTATTAATTATTGGTAGTAGAACTACATATTCTAGATTTAAAATTCTATTAAAACTACATGAATCTACAACTTTAAATATTCCCAAACAATTAGAATTAGCTAATTTAATTTAACTGCAAAAGCAATTCTGTGGAATGAAGCTCTAATGATTCATAAATATATATTTGAAGTAGTTGACAGAATATTTAGAGATCTAACAAGTATTGATAAACCTTTTGGAGACAAAATTTTAATTCTTAGTGGTGATTTTAGACAAGTATTACTAGTAATTATTCAAAGTACAAATGCACAGGTTGTTGATGCATGCTTGAAATCTTCTACTCTTTGGAAGCATTTTCAAAGCTTAAAATTAATAATTAATATGAGAATTTAGCAACAAAATAACATTGAACAAAAAAATTTTGTAGATTTTTTACTAAGAGTAGGTGAAGAAAAAAAGATAATACATTCTGATATTGGTGAAGATATAATTAAATTGCCTAATAATATAGTCTTGGATTCTGAAAATATTGAGGATTTAATATCTGAAGTATTTAATGATATTAATTCTAATTATAAAATAATAATTATCTTAGAGACAGAGCAATCTTAATAACAAAAAATGTTGATATTGAAGAAATTAATCAGCAAGTACTTAAAAAAATTCCTGGTGAAAATTATGAATTTTTATCTGCTGATTCAGTAGAGGATGAAGCTCAAGTAGATCAAAGTCTTTATCCTATTGAATTTTTAAATACTTTGACATTAAGTGGAACACCTCCTCATAAATTAGTACTTAAAAAAGGTACTCTTATTATTCTATTACATAATCTAAGTACATCTGAAAGATTATGTAATAGTACCAGATTAATAGTAAAAAATTGTCACCAAAATGTTATTAATGCTGAAATTCTTACTGGAATTAATCAAAGCACAAGAGTTTTTATACTTCGAATAAGGCTACAACTATCTGATACTAATCTTCTTTTTACATTAATAAGAAGACAATTTCCTATTAGATTATCTTTTGCAATAACTATTAATAAAGCACAAGGTCAAACAATTACAAAAATGGGTTTATATTTACTCAAGCCTGTCTTTACTCATAGCTAATTATATGTTGCTTTATCAAGAATTCAATCAAAAGATAATATTAAAGTATTAGTTAAGGATAGATATATTGAAGGAAAAGATAGTATATATACTAAAAATATTGTATATAAAAAAGTTTTTTCTAAATAATTTGTATATATTTTTAAAAGTATTTTTTATTTAATTTGTATATAATATTGAATTAATTTGTATATAATTTGTATATAATTTGTATATAATTTGTATATAATTTGTATATAATTTTATATAATTTGTTTATAATTTGTTTATAATTTGTATATAATTTAAAAATAATTATTATTTAATTAATTGTATATAGTTTAAATTGTAAAAAATAAAAGTATTATATTAATTAATTGTATATAAAATAGATAGAAACTTATAAATTATACTAAATTCTATTACA